CACCCCTCCCTCGCTCTCCAGATATTTTGTCCAGAGCCTTGCTATGGCTCAGACACAACACCATGTTTCGCGGCATTCTTCCCCTCAGGAGATATTCCGTTCTTACAGTGGCGCTTGCCCACTGATAACTCTGGAGTTTCTCCTCCATCAAGCCATAAGCTTCTTGCAATGCCCAGAGAAGACTTCCCGATGTTCAGACGCAGCGTGGACAGAAGGAGAAAAGCAAAGGCACTGGAGTCTGGTTTTATGGGTGGCCCCCCGTCAGTCTCCTGCTTCCGAGGCACCGGCAGGCTGCAGGTGGACTGGACCCGCCTGTTCCCTGAACCTGCTTTTCTTCTTCACAGGCCGTGCAGATGGGAGTCGGAAGAGGCCGCCCAGCCCCCACAGCAACCAGGGGGGACCTCCCTGTGAAGGAGGAAGACCAGGGTGGGGCCCCATCCCCAGAGGCCCTGTCTGGCCTTCAGTCCCTGAGTAAGCAGTCCTTGTGCCTCCGGCCTCCTAGCAGGAGGTGGGGATGCCCAGCAAGGCACCTCCAGTCCTCAGGGAGAGGTGTGCAGCACCTGTCCAGGCGGGCTCCACCCAGGGGACTCTGCCCAGGCAGCGGGCCCACAGCAGGCCCCTGCCACAGACCTACAGGGCAGGGCCTGGAGCAGATGACAGAGCATTTCAAACATCCCCTAAACCCTCCAGAGACTCACGATTGGGCTACAAAGATTTTTATCATTCTGCTCTTTCCATCTCCGCTTTTCCCTGGCTGGAGTATTTTTAAAGCTGTTTCCAGACTTCATTGTCTTCTCAAGTCCAATAAAAAACAAATCTGCCAACAAAAGTCAAAGAAAAACAAAAAAATCTGCCAAAGGCACAGAAGTAGAGAGCAGAATATGGTTCCCAGCGTGAGAAATGAATACAGACTGTATTTCCTTCAAATAAGACGAGGTCTTAATTTTTACTTCAAAAGACACAGCCGGGCTTACTAGCAGCCTGTCTTATTTTGTCATGTATGGCAGTCTACACTCGTTTGTGCATTCATGTATAAACGTCCACACTTATTCAGACACAATCGTGTCATCTTTTCTGGAACATCGTCATAGCTCCTGCATTTCTTGGGGCTCCACTTTCCCTAGATCAGCCCCAATGTCCAAGGCCCCCAACAGAGCTCTCTGTAAATGAGCGCTTCCTGTCCACGTAGCCTGCTCATAGTGCATTGGCAACACAGCTGTCAGTGACCTTATCCCGTGAATTCTTCACCCAAGTCACCTCTTGCAGGCTGGGCTTCACAGGTTTCTATTAAATCAGTGTTAACTGAAGGCTTTCGAGACAGGAATGCTAACAGAAATGATGACAGTTAAGAATGAAGGTCCCAGTCAGGCGTAGTGGTGCACATCTGTAATCCTAGCACTTGGGAGGATTAGCACGAATATAGGCCAGCCTGGGCGACATAGTGAGTTCAAGGTCAGCCTGAACTACAGAGTGAGACCTTGTCTCAAAAAAAAAAAAAAGACAGTCCACACAAAAGCTATGAGAAATTGCAGGCAGCAAAATTCAGAAAATGTTTCTTTATTTCACACAAGTGCATTAAGTACATCTGTTACAACACACAACATATTGAATTATAAAGATTCATATTAGACACGACCACATCTGTTCACTGTCAAGTGTGCACATTATTTGGGTGTTGCCTGTCCTCCGACTGGCCGCTCAGCAGTAGGTCTCTAGTTCATCTGTTTACGTAAGTGTTTACCTCTAGTCTAAAGGTGCTCACTTGGGAATTTACAAATACAGTACTTAATTATAATTATCATTCATTTTAAGTATTAATGTCAATAATATTATTTATATTTAATTGTATATTAGTATTATTATTTTATCATTCAATACATCTGTCTTGTGTTCAGCGAATGTGCTAAAATGGGTCCGTCTGGAAAGTGATCCTAACTGGGCCTTATTTCAGGGGTAGGACTTATTACGAGGGGCCTGAAAAATCATGCTAGAGTTTATTTTCCAGTTAGGTCTTATTTTCAGAGAACATGTATGAGAACCCACCACCGGAGCTGCCAGATAAAGGGGACAGAAAGCAGTCCTCTTGTCCAGAGTGGGTCAGAGGAGGCAGAGAGGACCAGGCATGTGGGGTGGCTGCTCCCCAGCCCCTGCTCCCCAGGGGGACCTTGCTCAGATGGGCAAAGGTCAAGCATTCTGTCCCGGGCTCAGAAGGACCCGGGTGCTGGTTCTGTGAGGGACCAGCAGACACCATAGTCTCATCCTGGCACAAGGGTGGCTGGGGCGCTAGGCAGTGAGCCCCACTCTGGGATGCCAAGAGGGGGTTTCTTTATTCATCCTATTTTCCAGGTCTGCAGGGCTCAGGTCAGTTTCCACTCATGTTAACAATGCACACACAGCTATTAGATACGGAAACACCCTAGAAACCCTGCACATCCCTGAACCTCCTCCATGTCAGCCTGGGCCAGCAAGTGCCTCCGGGGCTGGCGGACCCCTGTCATGTCCCAGAAGCCCCTCTAATCTCTAGCAGTGGCTGCTTCCTTTCTGACTGCAGCCCCTGATGGACCAGCAGGGTTCTCAGCTGCACAGCTCTGGCCACTCTGGTGGCCTGGGGACGGGCCGCACGGCTCAGGGCTGCATGCAGTGCAGAGTCTTGGCCCTGGCAAGGGCTCAGGCCCCTGGCAGCCCTTGGGGTGTGAGGTGCGGTCCTGCAGTGCCCCCAGGTGCTGCCAGGCAGTGTGCAGGGCCAGGGAGTCCAGCCCAAAGTCCAGCGCCCAGGAGCCCCGGGGCAGGCTCCATCCTCGAGGGGCAGCAGGAGCCCGTGGTGTCTGGCTGGCCCCTCAGCAGCTGCGTTGACAGCAGACCAGCAGGCCACGCTGTGGCCATGTCCCCTCCATCTAAGGTCCACTCATTCTTCCCAGGTCTCAGCTGCCATCAGGGCCTCGCCTGGACCTTCCGAGGGACAGCCCAGGGTCCAAGGGCTCCTGAAGCACCCTGACCTCTCACAGGCCCTGGTTGACTGGTCTGGCTTCCCTGCCTAGGCCTGAGGCCCCTGGGGCTGCAGGAGGCTGGGCTGGCTGAGTACTCCAGGTGAGAGCCCTGCTGCCTGGACAGCCCTGCAGAGACCTCACCAAAAAGGTATCAGGTGCCAGGGCCCAGCGGAAGGGAGGCTTTTCACAGGCACAGCCCGCTGTCCTTGGTCCCAGGGGCCAGGCTGGAGCCTGGAAGGAGCAGGGGGCTGCCTGCTCCGCCCGGCTGAGGCTGCCAGCCACTCTCATCCCTAGCAGGCATCTCTCCCTCCCTCCACTCTTCCTGGAGGGCAGCCGCTCTTGTACAGTCCACTCTGATCCGCACGCCCACGGGGACCTCCCATGGGCGCTGCCCCTGAGAGGCAGGGTATCCTCCACGCTCACAAGCAAGCACCCAGGGCCAGGGCCTGTGCTTTCTGGCTGCTCTACAAGGCTGTGAGAGGGGCTGAGGTGGGATCCAGAGACTCCTCACAGGGGCCTCCAGGGCCCCCTGGCTGAGTGGGCTGTGCCAGGGGGAACTGGCAGAAGGAGCGGGCATGGACCAGGGCACAGGAGCTGGGAGCGGCGCTGTCAGGCCCCAGTGGTAAAGGACTTGTCTCTCCTCTTCCTTCTAGGGCTTAATGAGAAAGGAGAGAGCAACCAGGCATGAGTCTGTCCATGACAAAGGCCACCCATCAGCTCCCTGTGGCCAGGCCCAGGCAAGGCTGCCCAGGAAGCTCCCAGGATGCCAGAGCACAGCATGCTGCAGGCCCGGGGGAGAAGGGATGCTGTCGGCTGGGCCAACCAGTCAAGTCCTCAGAGCCAGCATCTGGGCCTCTGGGCAGCTGGGGTCGGGGTCACACAGCTCTCTGCAGCCTCCTGGGTGTGGACCAGGCTGGAACTCCACAGCAGTCCCCACAGGGTGGTCTAGTTCCACGCACAGCTCTCTTCCAGCTCCCAAAGGGCCCAAGAGGGAATGTTCTGGGACAACTGGGCGCCAGGTGAGTCTGCTGAGGCCCGAGACCACTCCACCTGGTCAGGAGGGAGCTGCTGGGGCAGGCCTTTGGGATGTGGAGGAGGTGGTAGAGCCAGGCCTTCCTCACAACCAATACGTCCACTGCTCACCACGCGGAGGCTGCAGGAGGCCACTCCTCCTCACCCTAACCCAGGCCTGGCTGCTTTGAACAGCAGCCCGGGGTGGCTCTCATGCCAAGCGTCCACTCCTCAGGACACCAAGTAGACAGGGACAAGGGATCCAGAGCATGGAGCTGCAGCCCATGAGTGTGCCGGGAAAGGATGGGTCCCGGCAGTGGTCACCAAGTAGGGGACATGGGTGCCCGCCCCACGGGGCTGCACTCTCCCCAGGCCCCATTCACCACTCGGGAGGGGCCTCATGGTGGGCAGGGAGACCCTGGACAAGGAGCCCCTGAGCGGGGTAACCCAGGGATGGACTTAGAGAGGGACCCAGAGTGGTGAGGCCCAGGGCGGAGGTCCGAGGGGTGGACTCCGCCCCGCGGGCTCCTGACCGCGGCCCCCATGGTTGGTGAGGCCGGAGCCAGGCGGCTGTCCTGAGTGGACGCAAAGTCCGGAGCGTTCAAGTCCCGGGAGTGGGAGTAGGTGGAAAGATGTGCGTAAGACAGGGTCGGGGATTTAGCTCAGTGGTGGTTCCGCTGCCTCCTGCCTCGCAAGCGCAAGAACCCGAGTTCGATCCCTGGTACCAAAAAAAAAAAAGGACAAGCGTAAGAAAAGAGGAGTCCAGGTCGCGGAAAGCTGAAGGACACTCACCCTCTGCCCTGAGCAGGGCCCCGCCCCGCGCCCCGCGCCCCGCCCCCGAGCTCGGGCCCCGCCCCATAGAGCTCCCAGCCCCGCCTCTTGACCATATTCCCCTCCCCCTCCGCCCCTGTGCCCCGCCCCTCCGTGCCCCCAGCTCCTCGCCTCCCCTCTGACTCCTCCCTCGTGGCCCCGCCCCGAACTCTACGCCCCGCCCCGCCCCGCCCGGCCGGAAGCTCCGGCGCCCCGGGCCCACGCGCACGGGGTCGCAGCCCCGCTCCCTCCACCGCATGCGTCGGGCTGAGCGCTCGCCGGCACCGCCGGCCTGCGGGCTCAGGTGGGTGGGAGCCGCGGGGCGGGGTGGACGGGGCCCGGGAGGCCGTGCAGGGATGGGGGGAGGAGGGGGTCGCCCCGGCCCGGCCGGCCGAGGCCCCCTCTGCAGCCGCTGTCCGCGCCTTGCAGGGTCGACCCGTATGGGTTCGAGCGGCCCGAAGACTTCGACTACGCCGCCTACGACGAGTTCCTCTCCGCCTACCTGGCGGTGCTCACCAGGAGAGCCCTGAAGTGGTCCCGGCTGCTGCAGGGGGACAGCGGCCTGCGCAGGACCGCGACAGGTGAGTGGGGCGGCCCACGCGGCCACCCGGGGACCCGGCCGCACCCCGCCACTCTCGGAAACCGCGATCCCCGAGGCCCCGACCCCCACCTCGGGCACCTCGACCTCCTCGCCCCGACACCGCAGTAGCCCCCGCCCAGGGCATGGCCTGCCCCCAGGACGGTGAGGTGAAGAACACCCAGGGTCTTTGGGCGGTGCCACGGGGAGGCTCCTCGGGGACCTACCCAGCCACCTGGCCTGGCCGGCCCTTCCCAGAGATGGGCAAAGTCCAGCCCGCGTTGGGAGCGGCCGCTGAGCACGTGGGACGCTCCCTCCTGTCCAAACTGGCTACAGCCGGGCTGGAAACTGAACCGGCGCCCGTCCCAGCCCGGTGCCCCAAGCCTGTGAGCAGCACGCGCCTTACTTCGTTTCAGTCCTGTTTCTGTGACTGGAACCCAAGACCCCGCCCTGCCTGTAGGACTTTTGTTTCCTTGCTACTGGGTCCTGGAGCCCCTGGCTAGGACGACTGCAGTACTACCTGGCCAAACAGGTGTCGGCCTGGGCAGCATTACCAGCTGTGCCCGGGTGAGGGAGCGCGTGGGTGCCGTGTAGAGGAAGTCAGGTGGCCCTGCTCCCAGACAGGACGGGTGTGGGGTGAGGGTGGCCTGTCCGCGCCGCGTGGGGTGAGCCGAAGGAGGGACTCCAGTGAAGAGCAGCCCCAGCTTGCTGCCCCGCGAGTCATAGGTAGAGCAGTGCTGGGGAAACCGCGTGAAGTCGGTGAGCGCGTCCATGGAGCTTGCTGTGTGCCGGGAGGCAGGTGGCCCAGCCATGTTGTGCCCCGTGGGCTCCCTGCGTGGGTGACCTGTTGCTGCTGGGGTGGGAGGTGACCCCTGGGCTGTGCTCAGCACTGGCCACGCAGCATCAAGTAAGCTGGCAGAGCCTGAGGGGAAGGGACCTCGAAAGCCCCATGAGGCAAACACTATCAGACACCCGTCCCTGCTCCCTCAGTATGTTAATATTTCCAGCAGGCATCTACTTTTATTTTTCCTTTTGAATTTATTCTTCAAATTTGATTGGCCCTCTAACTTTGGAGTTATATAAAATCTAAGTTATGAGGTGATGAACATTTTAATTGCACTGAAGGATGTGGAGTGAGGCTGTTTCTCTCCAACCCCACCCCCCACCCTCCTGCGGAGATCACTCAAATGCAGCTGTGTGCTCATGCATGCTCACATGTGCACACACAGATGCTCGTGCGTCTCTGCAGGTGACCTTCAGAGCAGGAGGCAGTGTCTGTGGCCTGTCGACCCTAGGCTTGGCCCGGGGTCAGTCAGAGCAGAGGCCCTGAGGATTCGTGGTTGTGTCCCTACGAACCTTCCGTGTGCGGAACACAGGTGTGCTCCTGTCTGGTTTGGTTGCTTGGCCCCTCCGGTCCTTTTCTTTGAGGGGGGTGGGTTTGCACCCCCTTCCTCACGGAAGCCACACTGGGGGAGGGGTGCGGTCACCGTCGCCCTGTGGCAGGGGCTCGGGCGGGTAGGAATCAGAGGCCTTGTGGAAGGAGCTCCACTGCAGACTCCTACATTGTCCGCCACCTTTGCAGTTATTTTCCGTCTAGTCCAGCAGTTTTTGCTTTGTCCTGCTTTGCCTGAGAACTTGTCCCAACCTTTCTAAAAGTTTAACTTGGTTTTATTGACGTAGCAACCATTTTTGTCTAGTAACCTCTTTGATGATGTGACCCTAATCAGGCTGCAGCTGTGGTGACAAGTGTAGCTGGCCTGAACAGGTTTGGGTGCGATTGTGTCTGATCCCTGGTGAGACTCAGCCTAAGGGGTGGCAGCCGCAAGCTGCAGTCTGCTGATCTACAGGAAGAGGGGACCTGGCTGGTCCAGTGGAAGGTGTGAGGGCCTACAACCCTGGTGTCCCTGCTGGCGTGGGCCTGTTTTCTAGGGGTGTTGTCAGGGGTCCCTGTACTGGCAAAGCCCAGGGTGGGTTAGCAGACACCAGACAGGAGTAGACCGTGTGCTCCATTCAGAGGTGGGAGCCCGGCTGGGAAGAGCAGCGGGGTGCAGACGGTTGAGGCCCACACCCTTGGCCCCGGACTCACCCTGACTTCAGCCTTATCTCGCATTTCAAGTCCTGGTGAGTGTTGTCTTTCTTTTTCTGGAGGATTTTCACCTCGTGGTGTCTCCAGTAGCACAGTCATCTGCAGACCGTGGTGTTCGATGTCTTCACCATGCTGGTCCTTGCGCACGGGCCCAGTGAATGGGTCCCACGGGAGCCCGGAGCAGACAGCGTGCTTCTCCCGCAAAGCCGGCCTGCTTGATCTGCTTTTCCGTTTCACTTTGTCTGCCATGGCGGGGCCTGTTCATCGGGAGGCATTTGGAATATGGAAAGCCAACATAACATTCACTTGCACGCTTCTCTCAGGTAAACACTGTGGACTTGGTTTGCTGGGTCCTGTCAAATGGTTAGTAAGTAACTGCCTGGCCTCAGCTGCTGGAGGAAGGCCCAGGGCTCGATCCCAGCACCTCTGAACAGAAACAAAGCCTCTCTAACGTGACTGGACAAATTTGTGCTCCTGCCAGAAATGTGAGCATGCCAAGTGGTGGTGCACTTCTGCTACTGCATTATGCTGTTGTATTTTTACTCTGGGCATTCTTTCATTGGTCAGCCATGATTCTGTCTGCATCGGATTTCCTGTGTGACCTTGTCAAAAAGCAGTTGAGTTTTTTGTGTAAGTCTGCCTCCGGATTCTTTTCCATGATATACTACATTGCTTTAATCTTCTTCTCTAACATTTCACCAATACCAGGTTTTATTACTGTGGGTTTGATGTATAACTTTTGGTGTTGCTGTGATGCAGTTTAAACATTTCTGGTGTGCGCGCCTGTGCCTTTTGGCTGGTCCCTGTGAGTTAGAGCAGCCTCTGTCTGTGTTTCGATTGACACTGCTCTTGCTGTTCTGCAGAAAAGGAGTGGCACTCGGAGCTTCCGGCCATGTTGCCATGACAGGGCTGCAGTGTCATCGTCCTGGGGGGAAGGATGGAAGGACAGCTTTCTGATTAGTAGCATCTGTGCTAGAACTGTCAGGCTGGCTCCAGGTCATGCTGCAGAGCAGTTAGTCCAAGGGCACCGTGGGGTTCTTGAGACTCAGGATCTCCGGTGTTTCTTCAAAGCTGGAGAGGATTCTGGGCTCTTTGTAGCTTCGGTGGGAGGTTCTGGGGTCTGTCCTGCCCTGGGCTTCCTGGATATCCACTTGGGTCCTCCCAGTAGGGCCCTCAGGCTCCCCTCGGCGGGTGGAGGCCGTGGGGACCATGGACAGTGCCCCAGAGTAGCTCCCTGTCTTCCAGGTCCCCTGGAACTTGGGGTAGCAGCTCCAGCTCACTAGTGCTTTTCCCGATCAGGACCTGTGTGCTTGGTGATTCTGATCATTTTTTGTCTGTTAAATACAACTCAGATTTGTGTGTGTATCAATTAGTGGGCTTTGTGCCATTGATGGAAATTTTATTTCTTTTTCTTGCTGTTTGGTTACCTTTGAAGAGAAAGATTTAGTTTTGGCCACCGTCTGTGGTCGGTTGACCCTGTGGCTCTGTGTCACATGGCGAGTCACACCTGGGAGAGACCCTCGCCTCAGGGCCAGGAAGTACAGGAGGGGGGTCCCCGGCTGGACAGCAGTCCCCTCATCGGCAGACTCCCCTCCCTCCAGGCCCCACCTGGCAGCTGGTCCAGGGGGCCAGACCTTCAGCCACAGGCCTTGGGGACATTTAACATCCAAACTTCAGGGCTTCCTAAAGTGCAGCCTGAGATAATAGTGTCTATGATGAAATCCCCAGAGGGAACGATGGCTTTGGCTATTTGCTTTGAAAAGTAGCTGTTCTGCTGGTGACAGTCAGGAAGAGCACAGGGTACCTCCATGTGGTGCTCCAGCCAGGGAAGCCCCACCTTGCAGATTCAAGCCGGCAGCTCCCGGGTTTAACTTCGGTCCTGGTTCTGCGGTCACTGGAAACTGCTCTTCACTTCCCCATGAGACAGCGCGCAGTGTGCAGGACAGGGACTCCTGCGACAGAGTACCCTAATTCACTCTGCCTGCACCTCGCCGGCCGCCTGCTGGGTCTGCCCCTCAGACTGCGCTGCTGGCATCCCGACACCACCCACCGTGCCCAGCCACACACCCACCTGCAGTGTGCACCCAGCTCCGCCTGCCTGGAGAGCAGCTCCTCCTGCTGTTTTCCCAGTGTCGGGTGTAACCAGGGCCTTGTGTACATTGGCATGGCGCTGCCACCCAGCCACACTGCAGGCCCCTCCTTAGCGGGCAGCCTGTGCCCGGGAGAGTCGAGCGGGAGCCCACCTGGCCCGCCATGCGGGTGGGGGAGCAGAGTGGGCGGTCACCGTGCCAAGCGCTCAGGGCTGTTCAGGCTGTTCACTGTGCTGCTCTCCGGTTGGTTCTAGTGAAGCGCTACATCCGGAAAGGGGTCCCGCTGGAGCACCGGGCCCGAGTGTGGCTGGCTGTGAGCGGAGCGCAGGCCCAGATGGAGCAGAACCCCGGCTACTACCAGCGGCTACTGCGGGGAGAGCGAAACCCTGAGCTGGAGGAAGCCATCAGGACAGGTGGGCTGCCGGAGCAGGCCAGGCGCAGCCGTGGGGTCCACCCTGGTGTCCAGGCAGTCCAGGTGGAGTCGAGTCAGGACGCCCGCCTGCGATCCTAGCACTCCAGGAGGCTGTGACGGGGAGGGGGGCAAGTTTGCACCCAGCTTGGACAGCTTAGCAACACCCTGCCTTGAAATACAAGCGGTGACACGTTCTTAAAGGGCTGGGGATGTAGTTTAGTGCGAAGGCCCTGCATTCCACCCCCGGTGCTGCACAAAAGCAAAGAGCACCAACTGATTTTAATTTAGAGTCGTATTTTGGGGAAAAACCAACACTGGAATATTTGCAGGCAAGACTTTTTGCTTCACCCGCTCAGCAGATATTTGAGTGCCTGTAGCTCTCCAGGAAATGGAGTAACACAGATTCGCCTCTGGATTCTCAGGAGAGAGCAGCAGTGGCCCAGGACCCCCCACCCCCACCCCAGCAGGAGCCTGGCACTGTCACCCAGTGCTCGGGGTCCCTGCCCCACACGTCTCTCCTCGGCATCCTCCGTCTCCACAGACCAGAGGTGGGGCCTCAAAGTGCTAAAGCGGGTCTCCCCTCCGCTGCGTGTCCGATGTTCCCCGCATGAGGATACTACGTTGTTTGTCCCTCTGTCCCCCCAAATGAGTGCTCGGGGCTCTGCTGTGAGGTGGCCTGCAGGCGACCCCTGCCCACGCGGGGCTCCGTGTTCAGCGCTGTGAGGCATCCGGGTAAACCAGGTGTCTCATGCCCACAGCAAGGCGCCCACGTCCCTCGGGAGCTGTCCTGGTGCTGTCCACATGGCCTGAAGTAGCCCGAGTGCAGCCCTTCCCGGGCTGGGTGCTTGGACTCTGCATGTCTGGGTCGGGGGGCCTGGTGCCTGGCCTGGGGCTGTGCTGAGCAGGAAGGCGGGGCTCCCGGCACAGATTCGGGTTTGCTTCCAGGTCAGTGCTGCCTGTCCCCTCGGGGCCACCCTGGCCCTCCTGACTGTGGCCCTCAACAGTGGGAAACGTCCCGGGCTTTGTGCACATTTTCCACCCATCATCCTGGGTCTGGCTGGGGGGGGCTGCTCTGCCCCCCAACTCCAGGGGAGAGGGCTCCGCCCCTAACTCCAAGGGAGAGGGCTCCGGGGACCCTCGGCTCCTGTCCCCTCCCCTTCTGGCCCAGCAGCCCTGGCCTGGGCCACGTTGAGCAAAGGTCAGCTGGGCCTTTCTTGGGACACTTCAAGAGGGAAGGGCTGGGGGTTCTGCTCAGTGGGGAGTGCTTGCATATGCATAAGGGCCTGGGTGTGGTGGTGCACACCTATAATCCCAGCACTCAGGAGGCTGAGGCAGGAGGATCACTGAGTTCAAGGCCAGCTTGGGCTACATAGCAAGACCCTGTCTCAAAACAAAACAAAGAAAAGAGAGCAGACAAGTGGGTCACAGAGCGCAGATGGTGACCTCTGGTGAATTTCCGCACAGACCTGAGCCGCACCTTCCCGGACAACGTGAGGTTCCGAAAGATGGCACAGCCCTGCTTGCAGAAGGCTCTGTCCGACGTGCTGCTGGCCTACGGGCTGCACAACCCAGGTGTGGGCTACTGCCAGGTGAGGCCGCTGGGGCCTGGGCGCGGTGCACACTGGGTGGGAGGCATGGTTGGCACTGCACGTGATGTGCAGCACCCTCAGGACTCGGCCCTCGCCCACGTGCAAGACTCTGGGACGCCTGGAGTGGGGTGGCGGAGGGGAGGCTGCGGGCTGGGAGCAGGTGGGCGCTGCCACTTGAGTGTCCTCAGAACCCAGACCATCAGGCCACCTGTGGGCAGGCAGCAGGCCCCAGCCCCGGCTGTCGGGTGAGTGGGACTTGCCACTTGCCATGGCATCAGCAGGCGCTCCGGGTGTGTGAGGGCAGCGGAGGCCTGACCGGGGCAGGAGGAGCCCAGCAAGGCATTGATGGAGGGGCCAGGGGTCCCAGAGGCTCGGCCCAACCCAGCGTGGGCAGCACTGGCCCTGCCCACACACTGTGCCTGTGTGCAGATGGCACGCGGAAGGGCGTGGGTGGCCTCAGCCCTAGGCACGTGGCTGCACCTGTTCAGGAGCGAGAGCACAGCTTTTAGGAGTGGAGACAAAGTTTAGGGAATTTTAGAGCGTCGTCCTTTCTGTTCTTCGAGGTCTTAAAAATAAAAAGCACAGTTTGGGCCAGGGAGGTAGCTCGGTGGTTCCAGCGCCTGTCTCGCAAGTGCAGGGTCCTGAGTTCGATCCCCGGTACCAAAAAAAGCACAGTTTTATTTTATTTTCTTAGTTTAAAACTTTTTATCAGCATGTGTTTGTGACACCTCGTGAATGTATTCACCGTGGGGATCTGGTCCAGGCCCATCTGGTGTCTTGGTGCTTTTTACTTCCTCTCCTCGTCCTTCTGCCTTCCAAGCACAATTTTATTATTTTTTATTCCTGTATTTTTGAGACAGGGTCTCACTGTGGAGTGCAGGCTGGCCTTGAACTCATGGTGATCCTCCTGCCTCAGCCTCCTGAGTGCTGGGATTACAGGAGTGCACCACACACCTGGCTCACAATTATAAATATCAGCGTCCCACCAGAGCTCTCCTGCTGTGGAATACAAGCACCAACGTGTATGCACACGCATACGTGGGGCTTCTGGGATACATGCGTGTGCGCATGCGCACACACACGCACATGCACACGCAGGGCCTCTGCTGAGACCCAGGAGGACAGCTCTGTCCTGGCCCCTCCATGGCCCCTGTGGTTGCTGTCCACGTCGCTCCCCAGCTTGTCAGTGCATTGCCCTGGCTCTGCCTCCATGTCCACGTGGGGTGCTTCCTGCTAGGCATCCATGCCCCCCTTCCTTGAAGACCTGGCCTTCCTGGATTAGGGCCACCTTCCCTGCATGGTGCTGTCTGCCAGGGCTCCAGGCATGGCCCAGCCCTGTGGTGCAGGGTTAGGACCTCAGCGGGAAGCCTGGGGTTGGAATACAGCCCCCCCGGTACCACAGAGAGCGCATGCGACCTTGGGTCCCTAGATGACTGCATGTGCCCCGTGTCACCCCCAGGGCTGACGCTGTCCCAGCCCCACAGCATGTTCCCAAGTCGCATTTGCAGGACCTGCTTCTGGAGTGGGCGTGGCAGTGGGTGTGACGGTGGGCATGGGCACAGTGTGCTCCTGACCATCCCTCCATGCCCCTGGGCACCCTGACACCTGGTGCCACGGTGCCAGCTTCCCCTCCTGCAGCCGGCACCACCTGCCCCACCTCTGTGGTTGGCAGAGGCTGGATTTCCCTTATTGCTGGAGAAATACACATCTGTCCCAGACACATGGATGTGCAGGAGAGAGCAGAGCAGTGTGAAGCCAGTCACTGGAGCGGCACCAGCCACACCCTGAGCCGCCCGCTGGCCATGTCCCCCGACTTTGCTGGTGACGTCTGCCTTTTGGGAAGTGTGTGCTGGCGTTTCCCAAAAGGGTCTTGGTCACAACCACCCCCAGCACCCCACCGTGATACCAGGACCCTCGTGTTTTACAAACGTGGTCCTGCTGTCCTTGTGGTTTGGGAAGGGGGGTAGTTGCAGTGCCTTGGTACAAGGTGGCCTTTATACTTGATCTTAGCCAAAAGGCCGAGAAGCGATAGGTGGTCTTTGATTTCCTATTCCAGGTGGCACTTGGGGCTTGAGGTGTTTACTTTTTCCTCTTAATTAATTAAGTTTTTTGAGACAGGGTCTCGCTATGCAGTTCAGGCTGGTCTTGAACTCACTGTGTGGCCCACACTAACCTTGAACTCACAGAGATCCTCCTGCCTCAGCCCCTTGAATGCTGGGCTTACAGATGTGCGCCACCATGGCCAGCGCCTGCTCCTCTTTTTACCTACGTTGTCCAACTCGGCACGCCATGGCTGCCCCTTACGTATCTCTGAGGTGCCACCACCAGAGTGTGTGACTCCTGGGTTTTAGGGAAGCCCAGCATGGCAGTGAGCAGCTGGGCGATACCCTGTTCACAATGGGGCCACAGTTCCTGTCTCACTGCCAGGCAGCTTGAACCACCGGTGCTTTACGCACGGTTGTCGCACCGGGTGGCCTTTGTTAATTTTCTTTGTAAAAAGATGGGTAAACACGATGAGACCCGTGGTAGCACCAGGGGTACACAGAGCCCCACGGGACAGTGACACCTGGAGACCAGTGGCCGAGCTGGCAGGAGCAGGTTAAAACTCAGTGTGACTTTGGTTCTCGTTTTTCTGATTTCAGGGAATGAATTTCATAGCGGGATATCTCATTCTCATCACAAAGAGTGAAGAAGAGTCTTTCTGGCTCCTAGACGCTCTCATTGGACGGATCCTGCCCGGTATGTTGGCCGCCACTGGTGCCTTCCCCACCCTGTCTGGAGTTTTGGAGACGCCCGCTGACCGGGCAGGGCGGACTGGAAACGATGGCCGTGTGTGGGAGCTGCGGCCCAAATCCTTCTCCACTTCGTTAAGCGGAGCAGATGTCCCAGTGGGTGGCCCGCCTGGGTGGCTGTCATCTCTGGACCCCACGGGGTGTCCGTGGCCTCCACCTCGGGCATGGGTTTGCCTGCCTGTCCAGCTGGCACCTTGCCCCCATGGGGATGTGGCCCAGAAAGGACCCCTCTTGCAGTCTGTGCTGGTCCCATGTCCCCTGAGCGGCTCACACAGCTTCCTGGAGGTTTGTTCCTGAATTCGTGAGCATGGTCACCACCACAACTGCCTCTTGCTACAGCTTTTTGGGGTGAAAGTCTCTTTGGGTCTTTCCCTTTTCTTGGTTCCTAATAGGAATGGGCAGCAGTGTTAGTGTGGTGTAGCTGTGGACCACACTGTAGACAGGGACCGCAGCAGAGATGTGGGCCGCAGTGTAGGGGTGGATTGCAGTGCAGATGTCAGCTGGAGTGTAGATGTGGACTGAAGCATGAACGTGCACCGTAGCATGGATGTGGACTGCAGTGTGGACATGGACCGCAGTATAGTCCATGTGGGTGCAGAAGCCCAGAGTCTCCCTTCCCACCTGGCCACGGTCTTGGGAAAAGGGGCCAGCGCTGGACACACGGGGTGCAACCTGGTTCCTTTGCCCTGTGCATGTTCTCACTCCGTCCTTAGCAGTGCTGCACAGACACCAAATGGAACCATCTCACGGGCAAGGGGACCACGGACGTCATCGCTGCCTGGGCCAGTCCCACAGCTCCGACCACTGCCGAGACAGGAGCCAGAAACAGAAGTGAGCGCTGCTGGCTGCCATCGTCTGCCCACACTGCACGGACTCGACACAGCCCAGGTCCAGAGCCAGGGGCCAGTGGCAGCACCCGTCACAGCAGTGTGGGCAGAGCAGCCTGGCACAGCAAGTGCGTGACGGCCAGGAAGGAAGACTGGGGACACCAGCAAGACATCCGCAGAGGCGGGTGACAGGCTCACTGCTCCCGTTGGCGGCTGCCTCCTGAACTGCCGTGGACATCAGTTCCGTGGCCGAGCTCTGCCCCTGATCTGCCATGCTCCCAGCTCTGTCCTGCGCCTCAGAAGCACAGTGTGACGCAGAGAGGCCTGAATCCCTGTGGGACACGTGGAAGACAGGCAGACTGGCTCCACCCAGAGCACGAAGCAGAGCGTGGATCAGGAAGGCAAGAAGGGCCCCCAGCTCGTTCCACATTAGCTGCTAGATTCAGTGGAACCAAGTTGCAGTTCTAACAGGTCTCAGTGTAAAAGTAAAGCACAAGTCAGGAGTGGTGCACAGATGTAATCCCAGTCTCTCAGGAGGCTGAGGCAGGAGGGTCTCAAGTTGGAGGCCAGACTGGCAACCCAGTGAGAATCTGTCTCGAAAAAGTCCTGAGGGTGTAGCTCAGAACTTGCTTAGTGTGGGCGAGGCCCTGGGTTTTGTTTCCAGCACCACATAAAAACTGTTAAATAAATCTTGCAGAAAACAGGTAAATGGCTCGTCAGCCGGTGTTAGGAGGTGGCATATCCCGAGGTGCTGCAGCTCCTCTCCCCAGGGAACCTGTGTTTAGATCCCGAATACAAGGGTGACTTCAGCAGCTTGGGTCAAGGGGTGGTGTGGGGTGCTGACACTGCCCCAGAGCTGCTCGGTTATGGAGGGAGAGGCGGGCTGCAGAGCGGGGCTGCCAGGTAACAGAGAAATGCGCTCGCAAGCCCTTGCTGACCCCTGGCCTCCCCGGCAGGGAAGGAAGCACAGCCAGACCCCAGGAGAAGGCACAGCATGAGTGTGAGGGCTGGAGTGGAAAGACGTCCTGACAGCAGTTCCAGAGGGGGCGACGCAGGCAATGCTCAGTGCGCGGAAAGCTTAAAAGCCAGCAAGTTAAAGGACAGCGTAAACAGAGCAAGACAAGCACGGAGAGGGTACCTGTGAGCCCCGCTTAACAAAGGATCAGCTTCTGGACCACGGGAAGAACCCGGGAAAGTCGAGGGCCTGGGCGGTGGGCCATTAGAGGGAGGAAGCTCTCGGACGGGAGCCTGGTGTGGCCCGCAAGCTGACAAGAAGACAACAGCTCCCTGGCAGGCAGAGGCATGGGCTCACCTGGCTGAGTGTGGCGCTGGCCTCTAGCCCAGCCACGGCCCCCAGCTCAGGGCAGTTAGAACTGGCCGCGTCATGGGGGCTGGCTGGACACAGGGCTGGTGCCCTCCGTAGCGGCCAAGGGGTGGCTCCGAGGTGCCCACACAGGCCGACTGGGGACATCACCTTCACCCTCAGAGGCCACTTCTTGGCAATCCCCCGGGGTGGAGGAGCTACCTCACACGGGACAGGCTGCCTAAGGCAGAGGACCCGGCAAGGGCCAGGGCAGGGCCGCCCTGCCAGAAGTGGCACCGAAGGCACAGTGGCCGTGGGGAGCTGGCTGAGCTGGCGTCCCCTGAGGAAGTGCAGGGCAGGTGGCTCACTGCTGGGTGCATGCTGGCCTGGGAGCAGACATGGATGCAGCCTGCAGCCCCTCCTGCTGGCCACACTCGGACCCCAGGCCACAGTGATGGCAGCCGCTCCCCTCCCAGTGGAGGTGCCCATCCCAGCAGGCAGAGCTCGCCCGCCGGTGCCCAGCTCCTGGGCAGCCTCCCACTCAAAGCAGAACCTGGGGCTTAACTCAACACACACGTTTTATTTTTTCAGTTCAGTTTTGCAGTATTTATTTTGGCTTAAAAAATCAGCACTGAAAGTAAGTTTTTGTGTCATTACTGAAAAGGTTTAGGAATTAGCAAGATGTACAGAAGTTTATTCATTTGGGTTTTTTTTTTCTTTTTTTGGTACGGGGATCAAACTCAGCACCTTGCGCTTGCGAGGCAGGCGGCAGCACCACTGAGCTAAACCCCCGGCCCTCATTTGTTTGTTTTTTGAGACAGTCTCGCTATGTAGCCCAAGCTGGCCTCCTACTTGCACTGATCCTCCTGCCTCAGCCTCCTGCATGCTGGGATTACAGGCCTATGCCACCATGCCCAGCTAAATATACAGAAGTTTGAAGAGGAAAATGAAACATTTTATTCTGTTCACAGATGAAGTCTTTGCTGCAGCGAACTCCCACGCCCGCTAGCTAGCTCTTTAACAGTTTATCTTTATTGCTGTGTGGTGCGCTTTTTTGTTTAGTTTGTTTGTTTTGGCGGGAATCGAACTCAGGGCGCCTCGTGCTTGCCAGGCAGGCATTGCACTACTGAGCTACCCCAGCCTCCGTTTGTCTCTCTGTCTCTGTCTGTCTGTCTCTCATCTTCCTGGGCTGCCCTCTCTCTGTCCTGAGCTGAGGGTTCGGCTTCGTGGCGCAGCCCTGGGCCCATGGCTCAGCACGTCTGTGGTCTTGGCTGCCCTGACTGGGGCCGTCCTCCCTGGCGGGACAGAGCGCGGAGGCGTCTCTGGAGGAGGGGACGCTGCTTTGTCGGAGCTTATCCTGCATCTGCTAGTCCTCGGTGGCCCACAGTTCACTGTGGTTCACAGCCAGAGAGCATGGCGTGCCTGGGCCCTGCTGTGTCACAGAATGCAGTGTGATGTCCTCTAGGTGGTGCTTCCCCGAGGTGGGGTGCAGGCCCACACGCCCGGGCACGGGCTCCTGCCCCAGTCACCGTGCGGCTCGCAGCATTCCTGTTGGTCCCCAGGAAGTGGCTCCGGAGGCCAAGTGGCCGGGCCGGGCCCTGGACTTGTTCCACCTTCAGCACTAGGCCCCGGCGTTGGTAGGTCCTCCAGGTTGGCTTGCAGTGGGGCAGGGCAGAGTGGGCTGGGGTGGAGGAGCAGGGCCGTGGCGCAGGTCGTGATGGGCCCTGGTCCCGTGCCTTTGGCCACAGACCCCATCAGTTGCAGCCGTGCAGAATGACAGGCAGTTTGTCGCTTGATGGGTAAAAAGCAGAGGATGCCTCCGGCAATCAGGCGCCAGTGCGGGGGAGGCCCGGCCCCCTGTGTCTGGGTGGGTTTCCCGCTCAGGCCAGCTGCCCCCAGGGCCGTGCGATTCCGAGGCGACATCCTCGGGTTACCCTGGACATCAACGTCTCAGCGCCCCTGTTCCTTTCAGGTGCTCGGCGTCCCCTCGGGGCCTGCTTGTGTCAGGTCTGAGTCAGGTTTTCACCCGAGACGCTCCCTTTTCTGACCCCGTCCAGGAAAGGTGCCTGGCAGTGCCGTGTTCCCGGCTGTGGACACAAACGCCGGACGGCCAGGTCCTCAAGGGCTGCGTCTCCACGCCACCCACTCTGTGGGCTGAGTCCAGGTGTGTGGCTCTCTGGAGTCTGATGGAGCAGCACGTGCTCTGCCCCAGCCTGCCGATGTCGGGCTGCCTGTCACAGGCTCGTGGGGCCCCGTGGGGCTGCCATGCGGGTGCTGCAGGCATGAGCTGTGGTGGGCGCGGGTGTGGGTCTGGGGGAGGCTGGCCACGCCCCCGTCTGCCCCGGGGAGGGCCCTGGGCAGGAAAAGCACCTCCAGCTGGCGCCCCACAGCCCGGTGGCCACCTGCTCGCTCACACAGCGGGCAAAGCCCCTGGGTTGGCCTTCCTGGGCTCTCCCTGGGCACAGTACAGCTCCCGCTCACTCAGGGTCGGGGGATGCGGTGCCCTCAGCCCTCAAGCGCAGGCAGGAGCCCTGTTGGAGTGGCCCGTGCCCAGCCTGGGGTCCCCTGTCCCCCAAGGAGACAGGTCTGGAGTTGGGTGGGGTGCATGTTCTGCCTTTTTGTGCCCACTGAATGGATCCTGCACCCCACGTGCTGCTGAGGTTTTGCGTCTGTCCTTCCTTTAGGGTTGGCCTCTGTGGTGCCTAACAAAGGGTGATGGCTCCTGCCCACCGTCCCTGCCTCAGCAGGTCTTCTGGGCTCACTGGTGACCGCTGAGCAGCTTTGGTTTTCTGCTTGAGAGTTCTAGGTGGAGAGCCAGTGTGTGTGCATGTGTTAGACTGTGCGATCACACTCATACGCAGCATTATGCAGACCACAGCTGATCCTCTGTGACGGGGGAGGACAAGCTTCATCCCCACCCCATGGGCCGAGCTTCAGCCTGCCCGCCTCAGGGTGTTTAGCGCCTCTATTTTTGGAAGCATCTAAGCCTCTGTGTAGAGGGCCAAGGTCTCGCTGTACGGCTCTGCCAACTCCTTGTCCTGAGCTCAGCCTGGTGCCGTCCAAGGTGCCCCTGCAAGACCAGCGCCCCGGGCTCTGCGCTGGGACAGGACGGGGTGTGCTGTTACGAGGGAAGCGCCCGAGACAGATGCAGACGAGGCTGTAAGGGGTCAGCAGCTTTCATCGGGGCGTTCTTTTGTTTGTGCAATGCCGGGGGCGGAATCCAGGGCCTCACAGGCTAGGCAAGTGCTCGCCACCGAGCCCACCCCACTCTAGGCCTTTGCATTGTCTGAGACAGGGTCTTACTAAGATGCTCAGGCTGGCCTCAAACTCACAATCCCCCTGCCGCAGCCTCCCGAGTGCCTGGGATCAATCACATCAACCTGGCTGAATCCATTTTAGCACGAAACAAGCATTAAAAATTATAACATCACAGTAAGGTAAAAACTAAAGCAGCCTAAAGGTCTTCTGCTAAGACAAATGTCTGTTCAAAAGCAAGCTGGACAAGCGGTGGGGAGTGTTGGTCTCAGCGTGGGTTTTGTTTTGATTGTGAGGACGCAGAGTGCTGACCCACCGAGCGTGCAGCCTGCGAACACGCACAGCCCACTGTGGGCGGCCGCGCCCGCTGCCCCTGCAAACCGGCCCAGGACTTGTGCTTGGCCCCGGGGCTGCACAGAAGCCCCCCGCCCCCGTGTCGTCACCTTCTCCTCTTCCGTTCCTGTGTTCCTGTTCCTGTTCGCGCTGTGCTGTCTGCAGTAACGAGCGCGCTGCTCAGGGGGAGTGGGCACACGTGGGAAACACTGCCCAAGTCTTCCCGCAGCTCCTCCCCAGCTCCACCCATCTCTGTTTCCTGTCATCTGCCTTTTATTTTGGGTTTGTCATATAAAAGAAATCGTGATAGTTAAGCTTATGTGTCTAATTTATTTCACTTAACATTATGGTTTCCATTTTCCTACAGAGGACTCGTTTATCCCTCTCTATGGCAGAGTAGTGCTCCATTGTGTGTAAATACCACATTTTGTTATCCACTCATCTGCTGATGGCTGCTTCCAAGATGTAACGATTATAAGCTGTGCTGCTGTAGACACAGGCGTGCATGGATCACTGTAATGTGATGTCTTTAATCTTCCAGAAAGATACCTGGGAGCAGAATAGTTAGGTGGACTGGAAGTTTTAGTTTTAGGTTTCTGAGGAATCTCTACACTACTTTCCCTGGTGGTTGTACTACTTCACATTCATACCAACAGTGTAGAAGGGCTCCTTTTCCCCCGGCCTCTCCAGCACTTGCTATTATTATTTAATTTGATGACGCCATTCTTTCTGGGGTAAGACGGAATCTCAGTGTTACTTCTCTAATGACCAGCAGTGTTGAACATTTTTAAATGCATTTAGTGGCCATTTGTTGGTTTTTCATTTCTCTTGTCCATTTATTAAATGGGCCTTTTATTTAGGGGGTCTCAGTTTTTTGAGTTCTTTATACAGTGTATGTACTAGGCTTCTGTCTGAGGAGGACTAAGAATTTTTTCCCATTCTGAGGGCTGTCTCTTCACTCTGTTGGTTGTTTTCTTTGCTGTACCGAAGCTTTTGAATTTGATGTGATCCCACTTGTTGATTCTTGATTATTTCTTATGCAGTTGGGGTTCTGTTCAGAAAGTCCTTGCCTACGCCTACGTATGGCTTCGAGTTGCACCTATTTTGCCTCCCAGCAGAGTCAGTGTTCCTGTGCTAATGAGAAGCTCTTTGAGCTGCTCTGATTTATTCGCCTTTTCTTGACCATCCGTGCTTGGCCTGGGTCCAAGCTGCTTCCTCAGGCTGGATGGTGTCCTGCCCATGCACGGAGGGCGTCCGTGTGTCCACATAGCCCTGCTGACCAGGGGTCTGGGTGGCCGGCGCCCCGGTGTCCTGGGAGGCCTTGCTCTGGGACGTCCACTCCCGCTGCCGTGTCCACATTACCGCCCCGGACTCGTCCTCGTTCACTGTGCCCTTCCCTCCCAGGAGGCAGCCCTGTTGCCCTCTCCTGGCTCAGCCAGGCAGAGGCCACCAGGCCAGGTGGCGCGTGTGGCGTGTGGTGTGAGTTCTCCACATCTCCTCCTCCCTTGGCAGATTACTATGGCCCGGCCATGCTGGGCCTGAAGACAGACCAGGAGGTCCTGGCAGAGCTGGTGAGGGTGAAGCTGCCAGCAGTGGCCGCCCTGCTGGACGGGCACGGCGTGCTGTGGACCCTGGTGGTGTCCCGCTGGTTCATCTGCCTGTTTGTGGATATCCTGCCCGTGGAGGTGAGTCTGCAGGTGACCCCTGGCACAGCATGGGCTGCTGTGGAGGTGACGCAGATCTCTGTTCTACAGACTGTGCTTCGGATCTGGGACTGTTTGTTCAACGAAGGCTCCAAAATCATCTTCCGGGTGGCCCTGACCCTGATTAAGCAACATGAGGCATTCATCTTGGAAGCCACTGGCGTGCCAGACATTTGTGACAAGTTCAGGCAGATCACCAGAGGGAGCTTCGTGGTGGAGTGCCACACATTCATGCAGGTGTGTGCCGGGGCGCCCGCCCCCAGGAGCCTCATGCCGCAGCCGTGGTCTGTGCATGGTCCAGGGACCCGTGCCTCCGCTCCTGTTTGCAAACCGGCAGGGTCCCTGCCTGGGGCTGCCTCTGACCCCCTGGAGGGCCAGGTCAAAGTGTTGGAGGAGCACATGGTCCTGCCTCGCTGTTGCTCAGCTTCCCGGGCACCTGGGGCACTGGTGCCGTGGCCTCTCCAGGAGCCTGGTCACAAGGCTTCCTGGGGGTCGTCTCCACCAGCAGTGTCATCGGTCCCTCACGCTGCTGTTGTCCCTCCTGCCCCGGTGGGTTGTCCTCCCCCATGGCCCCAGAAGCACAGCTCCCCAAGGCCAGGGACAATCAGGACCTGCCACATCAATGGGCTGTGTGGGTGCTGGGGCAGGGGGTGTGCTGACAGAGGCAGGGCTGCGAGCAGAGCCGGCTGCTCCGCGGTCTCACTGAGGCGGCAGGGGCGCCTGGCTGCCTGTCTGCCTGTGTCTGCCTTGACCAGGAGCACATCGTGCTGTTGGCGGTGCAGGGTGCTGTTCTGGCAGCCAGGGCAGTGCCAGGGAGCACCCTGTGCAGGGTGGGGAACACTCTGCCCGGGCTCACTGGGCAAAGGGCTCCGGCACCCAGCGGGCTCAGGCAGGGGCCGCCCTGTCCCCAACCTGGGAGGCTGTCTGGGGTGGTGGGTCCCCGGCTGCGGGAAAGATGGAGCTCAGATTTGGGCTGCCTTTCGAGCCTGCTGGTGGCTGTCACCGCCACCCCCTTTTCTTCAGGGCCCTGAAGGGGAGAGTCCCCGAGGGGCTCCCAAGTGTTGCCAATGGGCTGAGGGTCCTTGCTCAGTTCCAGTAGAAGGCGTGGGTTGGCAGCAGTGGCCATCAAGTGGGATGACCCTGAGCCCCAGTGCCAGCTGCTCCCAGCTCTCAGTGCGAAGAGGTCTCGGGAACCTTCCCACCTCTGAGGATGGTGGCTCCTGGCGATGGAGTCTCCACCGCTGTCCTTCTGGCTGTGAGTCAGGTCACCAGTGGCCTTTGGTGTTCCCAGCTGGCAGTGCACCCGAGCAGGACGCTGAAAACTCCGCATAGGCTCCCTCCTGGGGAGCACTGGGCCTTTCTCTCCTGCCTGGTTCCCCCAGAGAAGTTTTCTTCTCCTTTTAATCACGTGTGTGTGTGCTGGGGGCTGAACCCAGAGTGGGCTCCATGCGTGCCATGGACCTGTGTCCCAGCTGTCGGCCTCATCGCAGGGGAGCTGAAGGGTGACGCTCCGCCTGCCAGCGCTGCCTCAGGGCTGATCTAGGGCAGTTGGCCCTGCCCAGCAGAGGCCTAAATCCCTCACGGGTGACTCCTTAGGCCAATAGGACCCGCCCTTCCCTCCCAAGGCTCCAGGTTGACACAGAGGTGCTGCAACCCGAAGAGATGAACTGAACACATTCAACAAGTATGGGTCAAAAAGCAGCAGTAGAAAAGCGGTGCTGAGGGCCTGGGAGAGGCTGGGCATTGTGCCCTGACAGGTCTGTGTGACAGCTTGTGAAGTCAGACAGGGGTCGCATCCTGTAAGGTGAGATGTGGACTTGTCATTTATCCTGCTGGTGGGCCGGCCCTGACAGATATGAGGTTCTCTGCAGGTCCCCAAGTGTCTCTGCCAGTGTCTGGAGTGTTCTCCTTTTCTCTCTGGAGTCATCTGAAGGTTTGCACCTAACAGGAGGCTCCACAGTATTGTCACCCTTGAGCTTGCGAAAAGCAGGTTTGCCTCTGAGACCCAAGCAGTGACCCCTACGCTGGCCCACGGTGGGCTGCTCACCAGAACCTGGCAGAGCCCTCAGATCTGGGTTGTGGGGGGTCTCGTGGGGACCCATCCTTCCCCGAGGCTGGTACTGCTCACGTCGTCAGGGTCTTTTGCTCTTGACACGGACTCACGATACCACAGAGTTCGCGAAGATCATCTCTGGGTCATCGAAACCCCCAAGCGCTGTCACAGCCCCTTGTCTCCCCATCACCATTCCTGGGGTTTTCCTGACTTCAGGAGAGCTGTCAGAAGCAGGGGCAGGTGGGACTGAGTCCGTTTTCCTGTCTAGTTCATTCCCAGACGACCGAGGTCCTCAGGAGGGGTAAGACACATTTCTTACCTGAGTCCACAGGGAAGATGCTGGGTGACTTTGCCCAAAAGGGAGGCCCTGTCACCACTGTGGAGATTCTGGGAGCCTGAGGAGGGGCTGTTTCCCTCAGAAGGGGCTCTGCCACCCCTCGTCACCCACGCCCTGACCCCTGGCCGCGGTGCCCTTCTGACCTAGCCCAAAGGCGGCCAGCAGCCTCTTCATCCTGCCAACCTGGGGAGAGACACTGCAGGGCAGCCCACAGCCCCGGTGGACACAGCCCAGAGCCACAGACAGTGGTGGCTTCCTGCCTGCCCAGCCTGCAGCCTTGAGTTTGTCCATCTCCACGGCAACGTCAGCAGGATGGCAGAGGTGAAATGTGTTACTGGGAGGGTTCATGCTGAAGCTAGCTAACTGCTTGTTTCCAGAAAATATTTTCACATCCTGGGAGCCTGTCCATGACGACCATCACCAGGCTCCGAGAGAGCTGCCGGGCAGCGCTGCTGGCGCAGAGGTGACCACATCCCCACGTGCCCTCCATTCCTGGCACCGGGAGGAGCCCTGGCCACAGGGCTGAGGCCTGCGCAGCCTCCACTGCCTCCGTCGGTGCTGTGAACACTGAAGTCACCACACTTTCGTGCTGAGTTTTTTTAAAAAGTGATTTAAAAATCATGTCATTCTCTAGACTTTCAATTATGACCTATGAAGTCATAAAATTTCTAAGAAATTTTTATCTTAGACATCAGTAATATATAAAATGAGATATGTGCATTTATATTTAATAAAATATTTCAGCTCTATGAGTTTTTGCTTATCGGCTTGTTAACTGGTGGCTGTTGTGTTACCGGTGCTGAGGTATTCCTCTAGTTCCCCGAAGCATGGCATTTATCTTCATCTGAGATTTGTGCCTGTAGCATGACTTTGCCATCGCTGTTTTTTTCAATGACTGAGTCCCTAAGGAGAGGACAGGTGTGTCGGCCCAGCCAGGGCTTGAGTACAGCGCAGTGGGGCCAAGCTGGGCCTTTCAAGCTGGAACACTGGACCTCCCTCCTGCTGTCCTGACCAGCAGTGCTGTCCCCTGGCCTGACAGGCACCTGCGCTCTGGACAGGGAGCTTCCTGGGAGGCCAGGCCCCCCGCCTTTCCCAGACTTTCTGCTACCCGCCAGTCACACCTGTCCGTCCTAGGTGCTGCCCACTGCCACCGCCCTGGGACCTAGTGGCCCCTGGTGCCTCACATGCCCAGCAGGAGCCTAGAAAACCGTCTCTGGGTGCCCCTGCTCTGGGGAGAGGCCTTCCTGCAGCAGGGCCACCCCACACCACCACGGGGCAGTGGAGATGCCGTTGGTCACTGCTGGGCCTGGTGTAGCGCACCCTGGGAGGACCTCGCCCTCCTGGTTTGTCCCAGCCACAGAGGCCTCTGCAGCCCGACTCAGGGACGCTTCTCCCCAGGTGCTCTGCCTCGGGCCAGACCCGACCTGACCAATGGCCCTGCTCCCTGCAGTCCTGGAAGGGCCCCTGGGGCTGCCAGGGGAGTTAATTCTCAAGAGGTGTTCACGCTGGACCCCTTTCCAAATGCTCATGGTCTCAACAGGCTCAGGTGCCAGTCCTGCCCAGCCTGAGGAGACCCTTGGTCTCCACTGCCGACACCAGGTGGGGGGTGCGAGCTACCGAGGGGCTCCACTGTGGCTTTGACTCAGTGCTGCCACCCCTGCCCCCCTGGAAGTGCTGCCAGAAGTACTAAGGTCAGTCTAGAAGTCAAGAAGCCAAGCTCGGGCACCTGGCAGCTGTCCTGCTCACCCCAGGCCTCTGGATCCCATGCACAGGACTTGCCTCAGTGGTCTTGGGTTTGTGCTCCCAGCAGCCCTGGCTGCTGCCATGGGCAGGGCTCCTGCTGTGTCCCAGGGACTGAGGGCCTGGAGCGCCACTGCTGACACTCTGTGTAGGCTGCCTTGAAGGCTGGACGGTCAGTGTTGTGGAGATGCTGCCCGGGAGCTGTCCCATGCTCCACACCCACACAGCTCTCCTGACACCAGTGGGCATCTGCCTGCGGAGGCCACAGCCCACACCCTCACACTGCCAACACAGCTCATGGGTCTGTGTCCACACTGTCCTGGGCACCTGGGGGACTGACAGAAGCACAAGGTCCAGGCAGACAAAGAGAGTGTCTGTTTATTAGCATTGTTACAGGCAACGCATCTCACAGAGCAGGGCTCCATGTCCAGCCACCGAGCACAGCAGAGGCCTCAAGCAGGGCTAGCCCATCGGTGTACAATGCACAACGGGGCTACCCAATGCCAACACAAGGCCGGAAACCATTTTACAGGTGAACAAAACTTACACCCTTCTGACACCTAGAAAAGCGGTAGCTCTCAGCAGCAGGCGTGGGAATGCAGGCTGGCCACTGGGCCTGGCCCTCCTGACCCAAAGCTGCAGCAAGCCTGCAGATGCCCCCAGAGCCCCCAGAGGGTCCCACTCTGCTGGGCTTAACTCCTTGGTGTGCCAGCTAATGATCAGCCACCCAAGTCGGTCCACGGTGTTCAGACCCGACATTGCACAGCCTAAATCTGAGCAAAGAATAAAGGAACCAACACCAAATTTTGAAGCAGCGAATGAGTGGAGCCCATACCAATTCAGAAAAGCACTCCTGCAGTCACAGGGTTCTACTCTGGTAACTATTAACGTTTAACCAGTTAGGAAAATATTTAACCCAGTCAGCAGAATTAACACCGTCATTTCAATATTAACTCTTTGTGCATAGTAAATGTTGCAAGATGAACTTCACATTTGTAAGCAGATTTGAGAACAGTGTGCCAGAAAGCGTGCCTCCCCTGCAGGCCACGCACGCACGGCACGCATGCCCTGCGGCCCCGCCCTCCCCTGCGCGGCCCCTGCGCGGCCCCTGCTAGATGGTCTGGTAGCCGGCGTGACTCCTCTTCCTGCCGATGAGGTAGGCGATGAGCACGATGAGCACGAGCCCCGCCAGGGCGCCGCCCACGGCGATGGGGATCAGCATGCCGCTCCCGTCCAGCAGACACTCCTCGGCTGCGCATGGAGGGCAGGCCGTCACCCCAGGCCCGGCGCATCCCCCAGCTCAGCGCGCACCCACCGGCCAGCTGTGCCAGGCCCAGCCGGGCCTGCGGAACATGGGCCCCGCAGGACACAAGGGTGCAGTCCCTCACAGAGGCTGCCACCTGCCCGGGCCAGGTGGCTTCCGAAGGGAAGGAGAATTCTCCCCACTGCCTCTCCACCCTCTCTGCAGGGGGAACACACACACACACACACACCCTCCCCGCCAGCCAGCACCTGGGGATGCTCCCAGGCGGCACTGCTGGTCACCGTGTGTGCCGCAGCGTACTCACCAGACCCGAACCTGTTCCCTTCGACCTTGAAAGCCTGGACCTGCACGCTGAAGAGGTTGAGGAAGAAGGAGGGTGTGATACGCAGGCGTTCCTCGGTGGTGCACCTGTAGGAGCTCCCGATGGTGGCCTGCAGGGCTCTCAGCGAGTTATTGGCTGCCTGGACAGTGGGCCCTGCAAGGCAGGTGAGTCTGATCACCTCCGGCCACACGGGCAGGGGTCACGCGACGGTGGGAGCGGCAACACCGTGGGTCTCACCTGGGGCATCAGGGACAGTCATGTTCAACTCGACTGTTTCCAGGAAGAAGCGGCTGGCACTCGAATTCTGGAGAAGAGACCCTGAGCTGCCTTCTAGGGAGCCTAGGCACCATCCCCCTGGCAGGCCGAAAGGTGTCAGTCTGGCATCCTGTTTCTAGCTCTGGAAGGAAGCTGTGTGGCCTCTGACCTACGTACAGGCTGCATACAGGGTACCACACTGGTCAGTTCCTTCCAGGCCTTTTCATGCATTCAGACTCCACTGGGAAGAGCTCTGCAGGAGCCCTGTTATAAAACTGAGCTTTTGTCAAACGGTACAGAAGAGACTGACTGAACCAGTGCACTGGCACAGTGAATGAAGAGCTGATGAGCAGCATTCACTCTTCCTATTTTGCTGCTCTATAAATGACCCTTTCCAGGGAGTACAGGGCACAGAAACCGCTGCTGAGCAGCAGGCGCAGCACCCAGTGCTCAGGAGCCCCATGCCACCCACTCCCAGTGGGCCGTGATGTTCACTGCAGTCAGCGCATCACTGCGCAGCGGCCTGGGCTCCTTGGAGGCAGGAAGGGTCCTGCCCAACACCCAGCAGGCCCAAGGAAGGTGGCAGGAGACCCGACGCAGGCGCCCGGAGCCTCACCATTCGGAAGTGCAAGCCCAGGACCACGATGTTCTCACTGTGTATCTCCAGGGACACCAGGTCGGCACCACAGCTCCCCTCCGCAGTCGTACCGGGCTTGATGTTGACCACTCTGGTCACGGTCTAGAGAGGAAGACGAGGACAGCTCAGCTCTGGGCCCACTCTCCTGCCAAGAACTGTGGGGCCACGGAGAGACCCAGAAGCAAGCACACATCCACACCGGTACGGACCGCTGGCTTCCAGAACAGCCTCCGCAGGGATGGCCATCTTCCTACCGTGTTGTCCTTCCGTGCATAGGAGATGTTCAGCTGCAGCGCCATCCTGGCCAGCAGGCAGGTCCCGTTGCTGCCATTCACGTTGTACGTGTACACGGAGGGGCTGGGCGGTGCAGGGCTCGGCGGTGCGGGGGGCTTGGGCGGTGTAGGGGGCGCGGAGGTCGGGGGGGCCAGGTCCTGCTTGCAGCGCGTCTCTGCAGGCACAATGGACAGGGCGCATGGAGCCCAGGCCCAAGCCCAGCATTCTTCCAACGTCCACCCACTCCCTGAGCCCTAGCTGGGAAATGGAATGCCCTCACTGAGCCTGCAGACCCGGCAACCTCCATCCAGCCAAGCTCAGGCCCGACTGGCCAGGGCTCTGGGCAGCAGGGTGCACAGGGACCCAGAGTCCCCTCTGCCCATCTCCACCTCGCAGCAGGACAGCTGAGCTCACGTCCCTGCAGAGCGCTGGGCAGCGCCTAGCCCTTGGCTCCACTCCGGGAGAAACCCTGCCTGTGTGGGCCATGGGGAAGGCTGCCACCAGCCACAAGGGCAGGACACAGGAAGGCCAGCCATCTGCAAGTCGCCATCACTGACTTCTACGCGCCAGGCGTGTGCCGGACACTGCAGCACCCGGCCCCCAGAGAGTGGGGCAGCCCTGGGGAGCCAGCTGTTCTGGTTTCTCTCTGGGGGGGTGAAGGGCCTGGGTGGGAGACAGCCACTGGGGAGGTGGGCGGCATGGGCACCTATGGAGGGCTGCTCCAGGACAGGCTCAGGTTCGGACTGTGGTGCAGAACAAACCTCCAGCACACGAGCCTGACTAGCAGCAGGACAACTGCACACAGGGTGGGGCTGCTGCACCGTGCTCCCCTCGGGCCCTCATTTTCTCTGTGCCTAATCAAGAAGGCTGGAATAATGGGTTCAGGTTTCCCCCAGTTCCATCCTTTCCCACATTCTGTAGGATGAGTCACGGGAACGTGCAGAAAGCCCGGAGAGGCACCATGTTGCCTTCTGAAGCACATGTTTCTCTCAGAGGCAAAGTGAAGCTCATCTCAGTGCTCTTCCAGTGGCCGGCTCCGCCTCCAGGACACCCACTGTGCCCCAAGGGGCTCCACACACCTCTGGAAGGGTCCCTCCCTGTGGGTACCCCCTTTTGACAGAGGAAAAGACCAGGGTGGGCATAGAGCAACTGGACCCGTGCTGCAGAGCGACCAGAGCGACCCTAATGTTGGGTTCCGGGGCAGAGCCCAGACCACGGGGCCCACAGCAATGGGAGGCACTGTGCGGGCAGACACCTGGCTCATCTCCAGGTAGAGCCATGGGTCGGCACCAAGGCCACCCAAGCTGGCTAAGAAATGCAGCCTCCCCCCAGCTCTTGTCTGAGCCCCCACCCGCTTCCCTGTTCCTGAGCTCTGACAGCAAAGCCCCTGCTGCAGAGGAGGGGAGGGGAGGACACGCTGTGCTGTGGACCCCCAGCTCCTGAGGGCCCTCCCTGCTAACAGCATTCATCCAGTGGACCTGTGCCGGACAGAAGACCCAAGCACAGGGGAATTCAGCTTCAATTCCTTCAGCTCAGGCTGGACTACAGAGAGAGTCTGGCTCCTAAGGGATGAAGAAAAACCGCCAAGCTGGGCGGAAGTGAGGTTTATGAAGACCTATGCTTAAAAGCATACCCACACATCAAACTCTGAAGATCAGGATGGATAAATCTGAGTCCTTTGGGGGCCCAGAGGCCCGGAGGCCTGGGCGGAACATCACCCAGTGAAGCCCCATCCCAGGCCGCAGACTCCCTGGGCCCCTCCAGCCCCTTTAGGGTAAGCACAGTCTGCTGGCTTGGAGTGGCCCTCGGAGAGAAGGTTTGTTTTCTCCATCAACAAGGCCAACAGGAAGTCAGTTCAGCCCTGGCCCTGGCGTATGCCTCATTTAAGTGATGGTGAACTGCCTGAGTTTTCTTCCCTATGACCAACACTGGGAGAGATAAAACGAACAAGGCTTTCTGGCCAAGCCCTCACTGTACAGCTGACAGAGCCCCCTCCTCCTTCCACCTGTTACTCATTATATAAAAATGATACAGCCGAAAGAAAAGGGAGCTATTTTATGATGAAAACAATCCCCGATTTAGCAGAAATGTATTCATCCAACAACTGCTTGGCATTCCTAATGGGAACAGACCAAGGTCAAAACAATACACTCCACATAAATGCTCTGGGACTCTCCCCTGAATACGCTGGAAACTTAGTTAAGAGAAAACAAAGCATGAACCACGGAAGTGCCTAGGAGCCCTAAGAATAAAGAGAAAATGGAGAAAGAAGTACTTGGCTTTACTAGAAAGTATTTTTCAGCAGGTTACGCTGCTGGGGCTGTGGGGCCAGGCACTTGGAATCTAGCGGTGGCCTGCAGCTCCTCACCAAGGAGCTGGCCCACGCGGGTCCTGAGAGCCCGAATCCCCACCACATCACCCAGACCCTACTCAAGACAGCGAGGCCGGGCATGCACGCTCAAGAAAAGAGGGTGCAGCATGAGCAAGGGCCCTCCAAGTGTCTGCTTGGGTGCTGGGGCCGAAGCCAGGGCCTCGGGACTGTGAGCCACACCCCAGGCCTGGTTCTGTTGGTACTGAGGATTCCCAGCTACAGAGACCGACACACAAGCTGACCGTTCAGGGTGGCTGCAGGGGTCCTCCCCGAGACACAGGACAGCAGTGCCTGTGACTGCAGCCAACCCTCCCATCCAGCTGATGGCCAGGAGGGGCAGATGCTAATCCCAGGACAGCACAGCTGCCACAGACACTCAGTGGGGCTTCTGGATGAACCTTGGCTCCCAGCATTCTCTAGAATCACTAACAGAGTACTCCAGGAGCACGGAAGCAGCAGCAAGGCTTCCTTCCCAAAGTACATGCGCCTGCAGATTTAACGCAAAATCAAACCGACCATGATGAGGGGAGGGTGGCTTCTCCCAGCCCACCTGAGAGGCAGGACGTGCTGAGCGTGGAGAGGGACTGGCTGCAGGCTACAAGCCCCAAATGCCACTCAGAAGCACATCCTGGGGCTGCCCACCAGCCGCCCAGGGAGGGGCCTTGCTGTTAGACCTTCTCCCCTTGGGATCAGACAATACATTCTGTGTTTAAAAAATAGCCACCAGGGCTGGGGATTTAGCTCAATGGTTTCGCTACCTGCTGTGCAAGTGCAAGGACCCGAGTTCGATCTTGGTACCAAAAAAAAAAAAAGAAAAAAAGAAATAAAAAATAGCCACCATGTATGTGTGGGATTTGGACAGCGGGGATATGTGGGAAGCAGTCACTGGGCCCTGAATCTCAAACTGTTCTAAACAGCAAAGTCTCTCTCGAAAGTAATTACTAACTTAAAAGACATGTGAGTGCTTGTCTGCTGTGTCCATTTTCAGAGAGAGCAGCCATGGTCTCAGAGTTCTCCCTGTGCTTGTCCCCGGCCACAGCACAGCCTCCAGCCTCCAGCCTCTACATGGGCAAGGGTGCACACTAAAGCAGGCCACCGAAGGAAAAGAAGGAGGCCATCCAGCAGGGTGGCACTGCGGGCCGAGCCACATCCTGTGGCCACATTCAGGCCCAGCCAGGAGCAGCCACTGGACAAGCTTGGCCATCTCTGTGCCCCAGCTTCTGACAGTGTCCACCACCTCCTGCTCCTGACCCGAGAGGCTACAGGGCCCCCTGGCAAGGTTGCCTGAGCCCAGACAACCTGTCCCCGCCAAGCCGTGAAGACCCACTGCTCCAGACCGGCCCTGCTCCGCTAACCTCGTTCAACGCTCCTCGAGCCCACACACAGCCATCCTCTCCCGACCAGGCAGCTCTAGGCCAGTGCTCAAAGAGGCTGCCTGCGGAGAAGGGGCCTCGCCACACACCAGGAGCGGGCTTCTTCCAGCCCTGGCTGTCACTAGTGCTTTGCCGCCTTGTCTGTGAGGCGACAGATGTGAATGGACCAGACTGTGGGCTTCAGCTGGGTGATGTGAAAGCGGCTGCCAGAACTGTGAAAAACGAGAAGCTGTGTTCCTGCTGGACTCTCCTTACAGGGCCCGCCGCTGTGCGATACTCAGGCTCTTCCTGACTGTGGGGCGGGACGGGGCGGGGCGGGGCAGGGCCCAGCACAGTGAGAAAGCCCTGCGTGAGCCCTGTCCCCAGGCCACGCAGGGCCTCTGGCAGAACTGCAGAGGGAATGCACAGGAGGCCGGCCAGAGCAGCGGAGGCCTGGCCCTTGCTGTCCCCGCAGTGACGTGGTCAGGCAAGCCCATGCCCACCCCAGGAAACTGCAGCCTCAGCCTTCTGAACAGGGCCATGGTTTCTGACCTGGTGCAGAGGGCGTGGAAGCCCCACCACGCTTCCTGCTGTACTAGGGATTGGGACCTGGGGCCAGCATATTGCAGGCCAGAGTCACTCTGCTACATCCCAGCCCTGGCCCCCTTTCTGAGAAAGGGTCTTATTGCCCAGGCTAACCTGAAACTTGCAATCCTCCTGCTTCAGCCGCCTCAGCAGCTGGAATTGCAAGTGTGCACCATCACGCCCAGCACAAACACATTTTACTGTTTTTCCCCTTCACCTGGTTTTTCTTAAAATCATTTACTAAATAGGAAATTCTTGCCAGAAAAAAACAGTAAAGCCCAGGAATGTAGCTCGGGGGTAGAGCACCCCTGCGTTCCATCCCTAGCACTGCAAAGAAAAAGAAAAACTGCTACTTTCTGCCAGGTACTGAGATAAAAACTTTCCTACGTTTCCCTTCTAATCCCAGCAACCTTCACAGCCAGGCTATTCTTATTTTACAAGAAAAGAAGGACGAGCTTGACCACTTGGCCAGCGTCAGGGTGAGAGGCGGCGGCCCGGACCCTGCCCTCCGGCCCGGATCTCATGGCTGGACCGGGAAGGCCCGGGTCACCACCCCCCGTGCAGGCCTGAGCTGCAGAGGCAGAGCTGGGTGGGAGCCCAGAGAGGAAAGTCAGCACAGGGAAGGTGCCACCGCCCCGCCCTCTGCACCTCGGTGGAACAGACCCCTCAGGCGGGCCCTCCTCAGAAGCCAGCGCGCTCAGCCCACTCCAGGGAAGACTCCCGCCTCCACCCACTCCCACTCCCACTCCCACTCCGGGAAGCCGCTTCCCAGGCCTCAGGGCGAGTGCAGCAGGCGCCCGCCCTCTGTCTGGGCCCCGCTGACTGTCCTGTCCTGCCCGCCCTCGCTCTCAGAGGCCAGTTCTTCGGCCCCAGAGAGGCCCGGCAGCGTCTCACCTGCCTTGCTGAAGCTGCCGTTGGTCAGGTAGGCCTGGATGGTGGTGTCAGAGAGTGTCACAGTCACATTCCTCATGTGCACCTGGATGGCGCTGGTGCAGTGGTACTTTCTGTCTATGTCTGCCTGAATGTCAGTTGTGGAAGCCTCAGTCTTGACTCCTGCAGCAAGAATAAAGCACCGTCATCAACGTGCACACCCAACTGAACTGGTGGTACCCAGTTCCTGGTGGGCTCAACCACCCCTCAACCCCATCCCTCGACTCTTACCCTTGAAGCTTGCGTTGGGGAAGACATCTGTGTCCGCCAGATCATAGGAGAAGCGCAGGAGCTGGACGAGGTAGCGGGTGGTGTTCCGTGTGAATTCCAGGGTCAGCGAATGTCCTCCAAAGCCGATGGCCAGGCTGGGCTGGGAGGCGTTGACTCCACCGCATGAGCTGTTACTGAGTACGTGTGCGGAGGATGGCAGGTGAAAGGTCGCATTCTAGGGCACACAATCCAAGGACCCGTGAGAAGCAGAAATGCACAGGGAGACCTTCCACCTCAGAAACCTCAGCTCCATCTCAGGAAGTTTTAGGGTACTCACTCCTTAGTAAGTATTTATTTAATACAGTATTTGCACAAACTTGTGGGGTGCAGAGTAACTCGATACACACAGATAACACGGCAATCCAATCGGGGCACGCAGCACTTCCCTCTCTCCAAATGTTTATCCTGCTGGCGCTGGAACCCTCCCAAAGCACACATTAAACTGCTGGGGCCAGACTTTCCTTACACCTCCATAAAATACACATTTTTAATGTAAACAACAAGACCCACAAAAAAGGTCAGTATTGCACGTTATTAGCAAGTGACCAAAAGTCAAGTCTGGGCCAGGGATGTAGCTCAGTGGTTCCACTGCCTGCCTCGAAAGTGCAAGGTCCCGCGTCCAATCCCAGGTACAAAAAAAAAAAGAGTCAAGTCTAAGAGAAAAGTGCCTTCGTCACTCACAGTTAACACTGCCGAGCCTGGTGTGGTGATGCATGCCTGGAATCCTAGCGCTTGCAAGCTGAGACAGGAGGATTTTGAGTTGGAGACCACCCCCCAACTCACACTGGGTTACACAGCAAGTTCAAGGCCAACCTGAACTACACAGTGAGACTCTCGTCTCAAAACAAAACAATGCTTCCATTAAAATAACTTTAATTTACAACAGAATCAAAACTAAAGTTGCTTTGAAACTTAATCCATACTGGATGCCACGCCCAGCTATATATTTGACATATTTAAAGAAAACTGCACTACTTTTTTGCTATAGAAATGTTTGTTCAAGAAGCCCTGGTAAAGCAGGCGTAGCACCAAATGCCTGTGATCCCAGGGCTCTCGGAGGCCAAGGCAGGGAGACTGCAAGTGTGAGCTCAGCTTCAGCTACTCAGACACTGCTACAAACAGATTTCCTAAAATGCTGAGGGTGTAGCTCAGTGCAAAGGCCCTGGGCTTAATCCTCACTGTGGGGCAGGGGTGGGGGTAGAGATCTTGGTAAGCAAAGGTGTTTACTACAGAACTGTTTGAATCTGGGAAACCACCTAACATACAATAAAATGAATTGGGCCAGTAAGTAAACCATACAGCAAGGCCACATACAAAGGTGGCCTTAAAGTGACAGAACTACACCAGGAGACAAAGATGTGCTGTGAAGTAATAAAGCTCACAGCTGCATGCGGATGAGTGTGTCAGTGTCACAAGACTTCGACAGGCTGACTTCTAAGCTCCAAACACAGGAAAAGGGAAGTAGAACATAAATTAACAGTACCTGGACAAGTAGCTATAATCTGAGACACTTTCACAATTCAAACATCCCGATTTTCTTCAGCAGTCACAGACACATTTATATGAGACTAGTACAGATGAGTTAACAGGGCCCAGCACAGAGCCCTGAGCACGCTGGTCAGCTGCTTGCTCTGCCTGGCCCGGAGGGGCACAAGGACGGCAGTGCCCACTGAGAACCAAAAACACACAATTCCAAGAGAACATATTACACAGTGTGCATGTATTAGTTAGCACTAACAGGTGATTAAGGAACAAGTACAATACATACCTGCTTTGTTAAAACTCTGGGAGAGACAAAAAGCCTTACTCATCCAAGGTTGTTTAAACAGAACCAAGAATATTTTAATCCAAGCAGCACAATATGAGCTACCACTTTTGTTCCCTTCCTGGAGAATAGTAACTGATGTAAAGAGCGCAACAATCAGAACTCCAAGGGCCAGTGACTAACATTACAAGGGTTGCTTTGATCATAAAGAACGATTGTGAAGGAAACTCGAACGCCCATGGTGAAACATCGTGAGTCAGAACACAAAACGGGTGTGTGTGACTGCAGCTACGATAGCTGACGGCAGAGGTTCCTGATGATGCTGGAGGGATCCTCGGGTACAGGAGCCTCCTTAAGGGGGGTTGTTTTCCAAAGATGTGCTCGAAGCTTTAAAACCTCCACCCTGCAACTCACACACACCTGCACGCACAGATGCACTCACGTGTATTCTCAGGGCAAGGCACAGACACCAGTGTCACCTACCTGAGGCCCGTTCCCAGTCTCATAGCTCGTCTGGAAGGCAGCAGAGAAGTTGGCCTTTATACACATTGTCCCATTGCCGTCTTTCACCTCGAACACCGCCGAGGCTCCACACGTGAGGCTCAATAATCCTAGGAAAGATACAGAGAATCAAATGCCTGCTTCCCAGTGCAGCTAGACGCTGCCATTTTCTGCACCTGTAGCAGTAAGGGTTCTATCAGAGTAGCTATCAGGAACTGGACGGTGGATGGTACAGGCTGGGGCACATGTTGCGCTGTCCCTCCTGGACACTCTGGCAAGCGCATCCCACTGGTTCACCAACCTGGTGCTTCTCTCCTGAATACCTATGGGGTGACAGTGAGGGTTACACATCAATTTCCGAGCACAGGTTGTTCCTGTTCCTCAGGACCTGCCGGTAGGTGTGGTGGCACCTGAAGGCATAACTCTGCCAAGATACTGACCTTCTGAGGACACTGGGGATAGAGCACCTTTCACTGTGGTCCTAGACTGTGGTTCAGAGTCTGGTCGCTCTCACTTCTCAGAACCCACGGAGAGGTGTGGCAAGGCCAGCCCTGGAGTCTTGAGCTCTTCACCCAATTCCAAGGCGGTCCCAGAGCACAGTGGTTCAATCTAACCTGTTCACAGCCTCCACCTGGCCAGGTGGGGCTGTCCTTTCCAAGAGGTCACGCCAGAGGGAGGCTCCAAGGCTCTTTAGGGTCGGTCCCTGCTCAAAATTCCCTCTCTGGCTTAGATGCCTGGCAGCAAATGTAATCTCTTATCATGGAGGGAAACCAGTACTTTGACAAATCACAATTCATTTACAAAGACAGGCAAATTTACCTCTAAGCCAAACATCATCAGCCACCACTGTGAACTCCTCAGAAATGCTACGGCATCACTGCTACAAGTTTGTCCACACCCTTCCAACATTTACACACCTGCAGCCTGGCCTGCCACCTTCGGTGTAAATGTGGCTGAAGCACGCTTGAGGACTGTACCCTCAGAGAAAGACCATTCAACTTTTCACTTCAAACACAATCCCCTGGGAAAGTTAAGTGGATTCCAATAGCCCAAACTCATTTCACCCTTGGGACTTACCCAAAATAAAGCTGTAAAGAGCAACTAGTTTTTACTGTATTTTATTTTGGTACTGGGGATTGAACTTAGGACCTTTCGCTTGTGGAGCAGGTGGTGAAACCACTGAGCTAAATCCCTGGCCCCTTGTTTTTTTTAAACGAAACATTAGTACCTTTTAGATATCCCTTCAAGATAGGGAATTTATACGCATACATAGCATCCTGCTGTTTTCGCATTCCCCTCCCCTCCCTTCACCCCTCTTCCCTCCTTCTTCACAGAAGCTTTGTTTCCATTTTTTCCTTCCAGTCTCTCTTTTCCTGTCCCTTCTTTCCTTTCCCTCTCCCCCATCCTTCTTCCCCTTCTCATTTGGACATTTTCTTCCCATTTCCCAATGTCTATTATACATTTTGGTCCTTGTTTATTTTATACTTTCGATTTCTCACACCAGAGAAACAATGCAGTAAACATGTGTGTCCAATTTATCTCACTTAAGAGCATAGTCTCAAGGTGCTACCATTTAGACAGAAATGTGTCAAGCTTATCTTTCTTTATGGCTGAATAGTACTCCACTGTATAAAAAACCGTATTTTCTTTATCCATTCATCAGCTGACGAGCATTTAGGTTGTTTCCAAGATTTAGCTATTACAAACTGTCCCCCTATAAACACAAGTGAACATATATCACTGTGGTGGGATGCTTTTAATTCTTTTGATACCAAGATACGCAGCAGGGGAATAGCTGGGTCGAATGGGACCTCTAGCCCTAGTTCTTTGAGGTATCTCCATACTGATTTCCACAGTGGTTACACGAGTCTGCACTCCCACCAACAGTGGAGAAGGGTTCCTCTTTCCCCACAGCCCCGCCGGCATTTGTTATTGGATGATTTCTTGATAGCAGCCATTCTTTCTGGGGTGAGGTGGAATTTCAGGGTTGTTTCCATCTTGCATCTCTCGAATGACCAGTGATGTTGGACATTTTTTCATATGTTTATTTGCTATTTCTACTTCTTCGTCTGAGAAATGTCTGTTCATTTCAGATGCCCGTTTTTGGATTGGGTCTTACACAGGAAAGGTTTTTAAAAACAGAACATTTCCACTTCTCTCTGTGAAGGAGGCATCAGAGGTAAGGGAAGCAGAAGCAGCAAAGAACATGGGCAGGCGTCTGGGTAGAAACAGGGTCGGACCAGACATAGAAACGCACAGCCCTGCCACTGCCCACCCCCAGTGCCCTTGGTCTGAGATGCCCTCGGTGTGAGAGCTGAAAGAGTCCCATGCCCCAACATCACACAGCCAGCTCTGAAGAAGCTGTCCTCTTAACGTTTCCTAAATCATTTTTAAAAAGGTCTTGAGGGCTGAGATGCGGCTCAGTGACACATGCCCAGGGTCCCAAGTTTGATCCCTGACACCACAAAAACAAAATGAAACAAAACGTTTTATTGACTCAAAACACTTCCTCGTGAAGAACATCACACTAAGTGGCTTATGGATCGTAGATGTTTTTTCACTCAGCAGACATGTTAAGGCTGTGAGCTTTCAAAGGAAAACAAAGCATGACTAAAACAAGTTTAAAGCAAGTTTTAACAGCACCAGGGGTCCATATTTATTCTAAAGAGCCCCAGAAACTTTGAATTGCTAAAACTTACCCCTACAGAAGCCAATTTGGATCAAAAACATTTCAATGAAAGCATGAGAAAGCAGAATTTTAGGAGAAACAGACGTGCGGCAATACTCAGAAGTCTTTAAAAACTTAACCGTGGCAACTCTGAAGAAAAAATAACAAATCCGTCTCCTCCACTCACGTTAAGCTGCCTGATCTGACAGGTGGCAGAGCCCCTCAGGAGCAACTGCCCAACCTCCACGTCCGTGCCCACGAACAGAAAACACAGGTGCTGACTGCCCCCCCCCCCCGAGGTTGCGCTACCCCTAACCAGCCAGCGCTGCTGAGGGTTTGGCACTGGCACTAGTTTCCATGCTACGTGTATACCTAGTTTCTCGTCAAATTCATCATTTAATCACCAGTTTCTAACACAAAGTATCAACAAGACAGTATTTATTAGCCAGGTGTGGTGGTGCAGGCCTGTAATCTCAGCCCTGGGAAGGCTGGGGCAGTAGGATCACTTCGAGTTCACGGCCAGCCTGCACTACACAGTAAGACCTTGTCTCAAAAAACAAAACAAAAAAAGGCATTTTTTAAAAAGTTATGTTATTTAGGGCTAGGGATTTAGCTCAGTGGTTCCGGCGCCTGCCTCGAAAGCGCAAAGTCCCGAGTTCGATCCCTGGTGCCAAAACAAAAAACCAAGTACAAACATTCATTTTAAGGCCCTGAGCTCTTCTAACAGAGAACACGACGTAACGGGTGTCAGTCACCAACTGCTCTCAGAACTGATCGCCGGGGATGTTATGGGTCCCGACAGCTCTGAGCTCAGCACGGGGCAGACTCGTCTCGGGGCTGCTCGTGCGATTCACTGGGTGCCCTTTGCACGACAGGCACTCGTGAAGTCACAGCGGGAGGAGCGACTGGTGGGGCAGGGGTCTCGGACGGGCACGCACAGGGACGCGCGTCCACACCGCCTGACTCAGCCCCCGCCGATCGCCTTCCCTCCGGACTCAGAACTGGGTCCGCCGCAACCCGGGCGGGGCGGCAGAAAGGGGTCCTGGCCCAATGCGGCGCGGAAGGGGCGGCCGGGCCCGCAGCCGGTGCCGCCTTCCCAGGCCCGCACGGGTTCCCGTTGTGACGTCTGGGCTCCCAGCCCGATCCCCGGCCTCGACCACGATCTCCGCCCCGGCGCTGCTCCCCTACGCCGCTCCCCGATCCGAGCCCTCGACCAGGACCCTCACCGAGCAGGAGCAGCAGCAGCGGCCGCCGGGCGCCTCGAGAAGCAGCCATAGCGCGAGACGCCGAGGCACAGACCGGCGAGCAAGGACGGCAGGGGCGCGAGGCTGGAACGGCCGGGTAGGGACGGCGAGTGCCCCGTCGAGCGACGCGACAGGCCCGGATGCAGAGCGCCGGCACCGACGAGACCCCGCGGCCGGTAGCACCCGTCACGTGAGCCGCCGCGCCCGCATCACGTGATCGGAGGTCTCGCGAGAGGTCGCGCAGGAGTGCGGAGATCTCCCGGCGCCCCATTCCCTCCGCACGTGACGCCACACATGACCAAAGCCGGCACGTGATTCCACCCGTCACGTGCCTTCGATGCCACGTGACCCGGCCTCACCCTGCAGCTCCCGCGGCTCCCTGACCAGCGGTGAAATGGAAAGTGGGCCAGGCCTCAGAGAAAGGGAAGAGGAAGCGCCGCGACAGGGGAAAGTGATGACGGGAACCGGAAGCCGCGGGGACAGGAAGGGCAGCAGATGCCAGGCGCCACGACCGGGCGAGGCTTCTACACCAAGACCCACGGTCTAGTCCATGCTGGTATCCATTTCCCAGCCCGCGATGCACTACCACGCCTGTGTCCACCAAAGGGCCCAGCCCAGGCCTGGGTTTATATGAGGGGTCCAGCCAGGCCAGTGTCCACGTCCACACCCAAAGTCCAGGCACAGGCGGGTATCCACATCCTGGCCCAGTTCCAGTCCCACGTCCGTGTCCTGGCCCATGGTCAGCTCCAGACCCGTCGGTATCCTGGTCCGTTACAGATGGTCCAGCCCTTAGGGATCCGTGGATGGAAGCAGGGTGCAGGTATGAGAGACCAGCCTCCTGATTCGGGCCGAGTAGTCACGCGTGGGCCCAAAGACTTTGTCTTTTTGGGTAATTGAGAAGTAGGTTCCTCAGCTGCCACAAGGAAACCACGGTATCCCAGCTCCGCAAAGCACATGGGAAAGAACGGGTTTGAAATGAGTTAAGTGTGGCTTCCCAGTGAGGAGCCACGGAGATGGTGGGAGAATATAGCGATGATCAGTCCCTACCAGAGGTCACTGAGGATTTCCACGAAGAACATAGTACTAAAACAGCTTCCGTTTTTGTTGCATTAATACTGAAAACCCCCAGTGTTTAACTTGAGGCCTCTACTGGTCCTGTGATTCTCAAGGAGGCGGTGGGGGGGGGGAGTAAAAAGAAGGGGAAGTGCTTGAACAGTATACTAAATGTTGGAATTTCGTGTTGCAAATAAAATCTTTTTAAACAATACAGTGTACAGAATTTAATGCTGTACAGAATCTTGAGGCAAGTTGGGAAGTCAGAGTCTGGCTGTGTTCAGCGTTTCTCCTCCAGTGTGTCAGAGCAGGGGAGGGCGTCCACCAGAGAAGAGCAGAAGCCTCTTCCAGGGCAGTCCTCACCTTCTGGATTCTGTCACTGCCTCTAGGACTGGAGCCGCGTCTGCTTGTCCTCTGCTGCCTGCAGCAAAGACCCCAACCACACTTGCACAAGAGGGCCTTGCGTCTGTCTTAACCTGTGCTCCTGCTGCGTCCGTGCCAGTGCAGTTACTCACACACATGGGTGCTCTACCTCTTTGCTTTCTAATCCTGCTTCCTGAGTCACAGGCCAAATTCAACCCTACTTGAGCCACTTCCAGTTTGTGGATTATTACCATCACTCTACTAAGTAGTCCTCGATGCTTGTGACTTTTCTTAGTGTTTTTTCCTCCAGTACTGGGTGTTGCTCAGCCCTAGCGCTGATCTACCTCCAAAGCCCTTTCTAATTTTTAAATTTTGAGGCAGGGTCTTGCTAAATTGCCCAGGCTGGGCTTGAACTGTCAGTCCTCCTGCCTCAGCCTCCCAGAGTTCTGGGATCACAAATATGTACCACCATACTCAACTTTTTTTTTCTTGTATTTATTTGCTTTTTGTAGATTTTGACTTCTTGCTTGCTGTTGCTTCTTTCTGTCCAGCTTACCTCTCCTTCCTTTCCAGCCTGGCTGGAAGAGGTCATGAATTTAAACAGAGGTGCAAGTAAATTAGGAGCGAGGGGCATCTCAGAATGGGAGTTATTGGTTTCTGTTCTGTTGTTGGGGCCAGAGGGAACTCTTAGATTAGATTTGCCCATATTTGCCTCAGGTTTTCCAGGATCATTTTGGATTTGTTTCTTGCTTCTCCAGATCGGAGAGGCTAATGTCAGAGTTCCGGAAGCAAAATCTCCCATGCTCATGTGAAAGCTGAGGCCAGTTGGGGGCACAGCAGATGAGAGTGTACATGGAGCCCAGAGCCAGTTTATGCTTTTCCTGTTTACGGTTTATCAACGGTAACATACAGACACTATTAGTCTGATATGTTAACTGAGCCTTGTTGCGGTTATGAAATAGACTTAAATTTAGACATAATTGGAAGGACTTCTAAAATATTTTCTAAGTAATGTTAATATTTCAAAAATATTTTCCACTGAATACTGTGATGTTGAAAAACTACATTGAGCATGGAAACAAAAAGCCCTGTGAGGGGCTGGGGTTTGGCTCAGTGGTTTCACTGCCTGCTGTGCAAGAGCAAGGACCTGAGTTCAATCCCCGGTACCAAAAAAAAAAGCCCTGTGACTTGCGTTTTCTGGGGTCTCTGGCCTATGAGGCCTCTTAGCTGGCAAATACCAGTGGGAGACAGAGTGCCCTGTAGAAGCTGAAAAGATGCCCCATTCCTTGCTTTCTGGGCAGTTCAGGTGTGAGCGCTGTCCAGAGTCCGGGCTGGTAGAGGCAAAGATGCTCCTGAGGACATGAAGTCTGGTAACAACTGGCAGCGGCATGGTGGCAATGTGGGAATTTTAGGAGCAGCAGGGGGAGCTGGCCCTGTCCAGACCTTTGTCAGTGTGGACCTTCAGCGTGTCCTCAGCCATGGCCCTGGCTCTTCCTGCACCTGATGGTTTTCCTGTGTTATGTTCTTTCTGGAAATTTCTAAGCTACTCTCTTCCAGGGCATTTTGTTTTTACTTAGAGCAGTTACCACTGTCTACTGTGCACTGAGTCCTTCCTAGTGCATGCTGTAGTTACTTCGGACTCGTGATAGTAGTGCAGCTTCCACAAAGACTAGCAAAGACCAGTGTCTCAAAAAGCAGCAGGAAATAAAAGGCTTGGTGAATAAGTTGGATGAAGTGGAGAATGGAAAAGCAATTTGATGTCATTTTATTACTTTTCTTTGTTGAATGCTTATTATAGGCCAGATATGGTCTCTTTCCAATTGAGGGGAAGACATGAAAATTGAACACATGAATGGCTGTGTCTTGTGGGATCTTCGAAGGAGGGAAGCTTTATGTTTTCATTAAGCAGTTAGGACAGTGGTCAATAGAGTGGTTTTTCTTTTTTTCTTTTTCTTTGCAGTACCAGGGATCGAACTCAGGACCTTGTGCTTGCGAGGCAGGCGCGGCACCACTGAGCTAAATCCTCGGCCCGATCAATAGGTTTTTCTGCTGGAAAGCAGAGATAGCAGCTGAGCGGTACAGCACATGCCTAGCATGTGCTGAGCCCCAGGTTCCATCCCCACCACCAAGAAAAAAGGAGAACTGTTAATTTACAATGGTGAAAACCAGCAGACACCTTAGGTAGGCGATCAAGGTCCACATCACCAGAGGTGGCGTCATGCAGGCCAGCCTCTTGTGTTGTGGCCTTCCTGGGATGAGCAGACGAGACAGATGGAGTCTGAAGGATCACTAATCAGTGCTCCTAAAAGCCTCAAGGTCGCAGAGACAGGGTCCTTACAGGTGGGACAGACTCAGGAGACGGGACAATGCAGTGACTCTCCCAGAGCCAAAATGGGATGGTATCAAAAAGGCACGGCAGTGCAGGCCTGGGATCCCAGCTGCTGGGGAGACTGAAGCAGGAGGCATGCAGGTTCTAGGCCAGTGGTGGCAAACCTCTGGCACTCAAGCCGCAGTGGGCAGAGGAGCCAAGTCACCCCAGCACTGCCCCAGCAGCTGAGCATCGGGCAACAGTGCACAAAATCACACCAACTTTTACCTTTTAATAAAAAGCTGTTTGTATCACTGAAAGTTCGGTTATTTTGTATTTTTTTAGGACAAAAGATGTTAATGTATGAGTTGTTTTTTCTAAGCTAAAACCTCAGTATTCAGGTGTAATTGCTGTGTTGGCACATTGCAATGAATTTGTGAGATTTGGGTTGCAGTTTGGGCACTTGTCTCTACAAAGTTCACCATCACTGTTCTAGGCCATTCTGGGAACTTAGCAAGATCCTGTCTCAAAGTTAAAAGCAAAACAGGCTGGTCAGGGTGGCCCATACCTATAATCCTAGCTACTGGGGGGCTGAACAAAGAAGACTGCAAATCTAGGCCCAGCCTGGGCAATTTAGCAAGATTCTTCAAAGTGAAAAATAAAAAAGAGCCGAAGATGAGCTCAGGGAGAGAGACTTTGCCTAACATCCGGGAGGCCCTGGGCCCCAGCCAAACTGGCCCCACTGGAGTAAGCGTCCGTTTAGTTCCCAGCATGGCAGGGTTCGTGTCAGACACTGTGAGGTGACAACATGGGGTCCCCAGAGACAGGATGGGGGTTCTGTCCTCCCATGGCTCCTGTGGGGGTCACTGCCCCTGGTTGGGTTGTTAAAGAAGCTGGGGTGTGGACATCTTCACAGTGAGGAGTCTTCCACACCAAGGCACTTCATTTGTTGATGCCTAGTTGAAGTCATTTAAAAATAGTTTGTCGTTTTACTGGAAAAAATAATAGTTGTTCATAATAGAAACTTGAGAAGTATGGAAAATTTGAATCGAAGAGGAAAGTTCACTACTTACCAGCCATCATTTCTGTATCATGGTATGTTTTAAGTTTTTGTTTTTGTTTTTGTTTTTTTGGGGACCGGGGATCGAACTTGGGACCCTGCACTTGCAAGGCAGGCAGCAGAACCACTGAGCTAAATCCCCGGCCCTGTTTTAAGTCTTTTTAACGTGTGTGCTTTTTTTTTTTTGGTACCAGGGATCAAACTGAGGACCTTGCACTTTTGAAGCAGACGGTGGAACCACTGAGCTAAATCCCTGGCAACATGTGTGCTTTTTAAAAAATCCTCATTTTAGGGCCGGGGATTTAGCTCAGTGGTTCTGCCTGCCTTGCAAACTCAAGAACCCGAGTTTGATCCCTGGTACCAAAAACAAAACAAAACAAAAAAACCCCTCATTTTATATCCTATTTTTGCAGTT